GATCCGGGCCATAATAGATACAGGAGCCTAAGGAAACTATATCTCACTACAAGTCGTTAATAAATAGAAAATACCATGGAAAAAGAAGGACGCCCCCTACCGACTCAGGACCGTCGATGGAAGCTTAATAACGTACGAGAATAAAGAAATCGCGCGAGAAACTATATACCTTCCGCTCGACATTTAAGATCACCAAAAATAGCTCACGCTCGACATTACGGATATCTCCGAGCACGAAATAATATTAGGGATACCCTAGTTGCAGGTAAGCAATCCTAAAGTTAACTGAAAAACAGGCCAGCTCCAGTGGGATATACCGGGAAGGAATCACGTCCCTAAAAAAACTACGAGAAAGCTTTAAACGGATTTACGAAGGACCTTTAAAGTATATGTTATTACTAAGGAGTCCAAGCCGATATATAAAGCTAAAGTACTAAGAAAATACTAGCAGTACGGCGCCTTATTCAGCGGAAAACACGACACGGCAACAGGTTTACTAAAGCACAATAAATAGGACTATAGTATACCCCTACAAGAAGGGAAGCAGCCTAACTTTAAGCCGATTTACGGATTAAACGAGGCACAGCAACGAGAACTCCGGGAGTATTTCGATAAAAACTTAAAAAGAGGATACATTAGACCATCTAGGTCACCAGCAGGATACCCCATACTATTTGTACCTAAGAAGAACGGGAAATTACGACTATACGTTGACTACCAACAACTCAACAGCATTACTATTAAAAATCGCTACCTACTACCATTAATCAGAGAACTTAGGGACAGACTCTAAGGAGCCTAATGGTTTACGGCGCTGGATTTACCAGACGCGTACAACCTTATTCGAATCGCCAAAGGAAAGGAATGGAAAACAGCGTTCCGCACTACCTACAGACACTTCGAGTACCTAGTCATGCCGTTTGGACTAACCAACGCCCCAGCTAGCTTTTAAACAATGATTACATATGTATTTCGAGAATTCGTTAACAAATTTGTCGTTGTTTACCTAAACGACATCCTGATCTATTTCAAAACAATGGAAAAGCACTAATACTACGTTAAACAAGTGCTAAAAGCCCTGCAAGCAGCCAAGCTGCTCGTCAGCCCGGAGAAAAGCGAGTTTTATACATAAAAGGTCGATTTCCTAGGATTTACCTTGACCCCAAGGGAAGTCAGGATCCAGGAATCAAAAACCTTAGCGGTCAAGAAGTGGCCAATACCCCAGAACGTTGCAAACGTCCGGGCGTTCGTAGGGTTCACGAACTACGTCCGGCCTTTCATTAAAAACTTCGGGAAGATCGCGGCCCCCCTAACGGACTTAACCAAAAAAGACATTACGTTCCAATAGATAAGGCGAAAACAAGAAGCATTCGACGCCATTAAGAAACAAATCCTAAACGAGCTAGTTTTACGACTACCGGACCCGGAGAAAAAATTCGAAGTAAAAACCAACGCGTTAGACTTCGCGATCGGAGGATAACTTTCATAAAAAGATAAAAATGGGAAATCACACCCTATAGCATTTTTCTCGAAAAAGCTTAACGGACTAGAACTTAACTACTAAATTTATAACAAGGAACTTATGGCCATTATCGAGGCATTTAAGGAATGGAAACCGTATTTTAGCGGCATTACGCTCCCAGTCGAAGTTTTTACCGATTATAAAAACCTTACGGCATTTATAACTACTAAGGATCTTAATAAACGATAAGTAAGATAGGCAGAATTCCTATCCGAATTTAACTTTAAAATTATTCACGTTAAGGAAACCGAAAATGCTAAGGCAGATATATTAAGCCGACGAAGCGACTATAACCAGCCAGTACCTAAATAAGCCCAAACCCTTTTACGACAAAATAAGGAAGGACACTTTATTTGCGGAGCTATATACTAAGTAATTCCTAACGACGAATAGATAGAACGCCTTAAAAGCGAACTACATATAAAAGGAAAAATAGTGGTACTAGCGCACTATAAGGAAGCTTTTGTTAAGGCATTCCACGAACATTCCGTATATAAATACTAGGGAGTGTTCCGAACAAAAACCAAGATAGGGTAATACTACACGTTCGCAACTTTTACCGGCACCGTTAAAAAAGTTATTAAGGAATGTAATACTTGTAATAAGGCAAAGGCAGAACGACACAAACCTTACGGGTTACTACAACTAGTACTTATACCTACTAAGGCATGGAGCACTATCGCATAGGACTTTATTATTAAGCTACTACCCTCGAAGGAGCCAATAATAGGAGCAAAGTACGACAGCATATGGGTCGTTACAGATAAACTTATTAAAATGATATACTATATTTTATATAAGGAAGCAAGTATAGCAAAAGACCTAGCGTACGCATTCCTTCGACACGTAGTTAGCAAACATGGACTACCGGACGAAGTTATATCCGACCGAAATAAGCTATTTACATTAAGGTTCTAGATGAGCCTAATAAAGCAAATGGGAGTCAAGCAAAAGCTATCCACAGCCTACTATCCCCAAACGGACGGATAGACCGAGCGAATGAACCAGATACTAAAACAATACTTTAGATGCTATATTAATAAATAACAAAATAACTGGGTATACTTATTACTACTAGCGGAACTAGCGTATAACAGAAACACTAACAAGTTACTTTAAACGTTACCGTTTAAAGCTAATTACGGATACGAACTAAATATTACTAAAAACCCCCTATAAGGAGCAGACGCACCTAAAGCGGGAATAAGGACAAAAAAGCTTAAAGGACTTTATAAGTACTTTTAAAAGGAACTTTAATTTCTTTAAAAACGCATAAAACGATACTATAACAGCAAAAGGATTGCGGGACTAATCCTAACGAGGGGAGACCGAGTTTACTTCTTACGACAAAACATTAAAACTAAAAAACCAAACGAAAAACTTAACTTTAAAAAATTAGGACTATTTAAAATCGAGCGAGTAATTTCCGACACTAACTATTAATTATTACTACTGCAAGAAATGCGGATATACCTAGTATTTTATATTTTATTATTGGAACTAGCACCACGAAACACCCTGCTAGAAATATAAGTCGAAACCTAAAAAAACCCAAAAAAATACAAGATTAAATAAATCCTAAACACCCGATTAAAAAAAAACTAAATCGAGTACCTAGTTAAATAAAAAGATTACTTACTAAGGGATAACACGTAAGAACTTATTAAGCACCTTACGAACTGCCCCAAGCAGGTTTAATAGTTCCACCAGCAAAACCTAGATCGACTATCAGTAAAAGATCCAGGGATACTTTAGGATACACGGCGTTCCACTTGATCTCGAAATTATTAGGTAAAAGACGATCGACTAAAAAAGGAGGGCAATTAACGACGCAATAAGCCTTTTTGGCTTCGGCCTCCTCGCGCTCGACACGCTTTAACTCCTTAACACTGTTAATACTATAACGCACCGCACGCATTATCCTTTTAAACTATAATTTTTTTTGTTTTCGGAAACGCTTTATCCGAGCATTAGCCCTGCGACGCTCCTCTTTAGCGGCCTTTAGCTCGGACTTTAACTTCTAATGCTGCGCAATAACAGCATAAAGGTCCTTAAGCGAAGGCCCTAAAATGTTGCAGCAGGAGCAACCAAAGCAAACACACTTAGCGTAACGAGACAAGTCCAAGGGAGAAGCCTGGCATAAGGCGATACCCCGGCCCTCGCAAAAAAAACAAGAAGGCATTTCCACGGCCGAATAAAAAAGGGTAGCAAGAAGCGCGTTCTTTTGCTTTGTCTTTAGCGCGCAACGAGATTTCGCGATACGACCTAATATAACGATATTAGCAAAAGAAAAAGGAGGAAACAATAAAGGAACAAAAGCCTAAAAAAGGAACCTAGGCACGCGCTTATTATTTATAGCTTTGCGGACAAAGGCTTTAAAAGAAGGGAAATAATGTTACAAACCAACAAGGGCAACCTAGTACAGCAGCTTGGGACAAAGGAATTATCTTAGGACGGGAACTTGGTCCTAGGACAAGTTAACCAGTCCTAGAACGAGTGGGTCAGTCCTAGGGCAACAAACGGGCCCAGGACAAGGGACGGAACAAATACGGACCGAAGGTTACGTAACTGGATAGCCTGGATAGCGAAGCTATCTAATATATCCAAATAGCTGGGATAGCGAGGCTATCTAAGCGCCCCAAGCTAACGGCCAAGGGTAATTAGTAAAGGAATAAAAGATATATAAGGCAGAGGATTTCCTATGTAACTAGTTATTTATTACTTTAGTAATCAATTTAAGCTTTAGTTTACTTTTTAGAAACTAAAGGGAGCAATACCTCCTAACGATCGATATCAAGTGAACCCCTAGCGGCAGAAGACTCCATACACTACCAGCCTAATACTTGTACGGCTACCGTGCCTTACCTTAGGAACATAAACCCTACACCCTATCTCCCTTCGCCAGCACGCAAAGGGACGTATCGTCACACCGCTATGCCAGGCTAGCAAGCTATTAATAAAAAGTATTAGCACCGAGCTAAAGGCATAGCGCTAAAAAGTCTTTACGAAAACGAAAACCGCGAATAGTTTTTCGAAAAAATACTCGACTTTAAAATAAAAAACAGCACGTTATAATATAAACTTAAATGGCCATTATTACACCGTCTAACGTAGCAAGATGCTATTATAGTTATAAGGTGTATAAAGTATATAGCCGATTTTTACAGCCTGTACCTTAAAAAGCCCGGGCCTCCGAGCTGGTTTATATCACCTTATACACAAGCCAACACTACTATGCTTCGTCCTTTAATACTACAGCAAAATCCGCAAAAACACCTTTAACGAAGCTTTCGAAGGTAACATTAACTAAGTTTATATTACGTTTACTACTTACAAGGAAACCGCGCTATATCAGCAAAAAAGGGCCGTTCCAGGCACGATACCATTAAAAAAAAAAAAAAGCTTAACTTATAAGACATTAAAAAACTCTACTAACTCCAGCAAACAAAACCACCCCGAGACCGACCGGGCCACTGTTAACCTGCAATAGGATTCGAACCTATATTTAAAGGCTTACGCTTGCACTTTTACTAACTCAGTTACGCAGGAGCGGCAGGCCGCGATCGTCTCTATATCGAGACAGCCGGGAAAGGGGCTATCATCGCGACCACATTGGCGCGATCAAGGTCGCCCGAACCTAAAACCTCCATTACCACAAATAAAACCTCGTTAAAAAAACAACGTTTTCTTAGGACCTAAGCAACTTAGCAAGGGTCGCCGGGGCAAAAGCGCAGCAGCTAATAGTCGTTAAAAAAGGCAACTTTATCCTCGGTCGCGTTCCATTGGGGAGCCGGGACCTTAGCGAGGGAGAAAGCACGGCGGCTTGCCTTTATAGTCTAGTAAGGGCCGAAGTTTATTTAAAATATTAACGTATTAGTATAATCTTGTTTGCGAATTAGTTACGATTTCGATACGTACTAACGTGGCTTTTTTAGCACCGGCTAAACTAAAGTGCTTGCGTACTTGCTTTTCCGTATTTTTAAAACAGATAGCGAGGCAGTAGGTAGCTTTAGTTACGTCGAAGCGGATGCGCTCGGAAAAAACAAATTCATTGTTAGCCGGGTCCTTTTCTTAAAACAAGGCGGCGAAACGGAAAAGCTTATATAAGTCGGCAGCGTTTCCTGTTATAATGCCGACGGGCTAGATATTAAAACGTTAGCAAAATATATATTAAAACAAACGTACCACTAAGGAAACTTACGGTTTTATAAAACAACTTGCTGTTGTTACAGTAAGCGCAGCAAGTGCTTAAACCGGTAGCAAACCGGCAGCAAACAGCTAAAGGGACGGAGGCGCGGACGGCAGAGACCGCCTTGCTAAAGTCCAAGCAGACGGCACGGAAGCACGACATGCATAACTGAAAGCCAGCAAGCTAAGGGACGGAGCGGAGGTAGAGTTGTTGCGACATTGTGACGGGCGCAGCGAGGGGGCGAGAAGACTGTGGTATTGATTCGTAAAGCTAAAAAAACGTTTTTAGCTGGTAAGGCGCAAAAGAAAAGGAATCGGGATAAAGATAAAAAGGTATCGTAAAAAGGTCGGGCCGTAAAGCGGCTAAAAATAAACAATAGGCTAGCGCGCTTTAGGCGGTAAGGCCTAACAGAATAGCTAACTAGCACCCGAACCGGCCAAATAACACCATTATTTATAGCTGCGGTTAGCTGCAATCTAAGGACAGGGGTACTGTCACGGTACCAAGTAACAGACAGCCCGATACAGGCCCGAACCGCCCGTGCGTCAACAACCACTAAAACCTTATCTTTATAAGCTAGCTTTGTACCTTTCTTTTAGCTTTTTATATAACAATAAAAGTCATACCTGGACCCTACCAGCAGTTAGACTGTGACACCTGCGAAATAGGGCTACTGGGGAGCCGAGTGGATCATGACGCGATAAAACAGGTGTCATTTTCACAAGACATAGCCCCGAGCGACTTATATCTAAAAAATGTCTAGTAGTTATAAAATGTCTAGCATTCAACACCTCTGAGATACACTTTATTCTCCAGGCAGCAAGCTGCGTGAGCCGGTGACTATGAATGTCCTTGTCTCTCAACACAGTAGGATTTTATTGCTGAACAACTTTCTTCTTTTAGAGATCGGTTTGAATCGTGTCAAAATATATGATGATTTGATGTAGTAACTGGGATTGTATTCGCACGACTGTCATTTGGAAACCAGATGACTATCCCCACCCGCAAACGAAGAATTAGTCTAGGGACTAAGTTCTGACGTATCAAGCTTTATGTGACTCTAGACCATTTGGCTTTATGCTAACTGCCTGATTGGAATTCCAATTCATGAAGTATCAGAGCCCATGGGGTGACCTCAGGTGTTTGCGTTTTCTGTATGGAGATTAGAATCTTGTGGAACTCACTCCCAATGACATCTTTACTTACGTAGCCGTGAACATTGTAACACATGTTGACTATGCTTTCATCGTCAATTCTGTACCAATGTCGATGTCGGTGCGCTTTGTGCATCCTGGGCAGGCGTCATCATCGCGAGCATCGATTTCTGTCTCGAGGGACCTATCGCAACCGGGACAGGCGGGAAGAGCTAAGCTGAAAGAGAAAAGGGATACGGCGACAAGATACAGGAGCTTCATTTTGAGTTGACAGGTGAGTGTTGTGGTCCAGGGCTTATGTGTGGTATGATGGCGGAATAGAGACCCAGGAAGGTGATGTCGAGGAGCTGGTGCGGGCACGCCTCATGTTTATATACACCATACCTGCCCTTCAAATGAATCACGTCCGACTCGGGCATCTTTTAGCTAGCCTTGCCTTTCCCTGGTGCGGAGCGGAACAGGCGTTCCGATGATTCAGAAGTTACACGAGCTTCTTGAGAACGATTGCGTGTGCATATCCTAGAATAGTCGACTAAGCCGGTAGCCATGCAAAGTCTGAACATCGTTTAAAGTCTCGCTCGTCGGATTGTTCAGGCGTATGTCGTTCATGATTGGTTGGACGGCCGAAACAGCTCGATATCAAGCGGCTAATAGGTATGCATGATACTTACTGACACTATCATAGAATATGGCAGTTGAGACTCCCATTTTACCGCAATGGAGGAGATGGGAGGGCTCTCTAGAGCGATAGCTCAAACTTATCTGCACTAATGCAAGACCTGAGTTCCGAGACTTTGAAAACGTGGTGATGGTGGGGGTTCCTGAACCAGGGGTAGGCTTGGCATCAGCTGAATGCAACGAACTTTCCAGAGACTTTGCTCTCTCTGCCTCATCCTAGTCTGAGAGAGGTCAAGATCAAAAGGCTCTGAAAGAGCGTTGCACAATCCCGGTCCTTCGGATCGCACGTCCCGTTGATTAGAACATGCCAGTCCCTTCGAGACCCCCGGCTAACAACATCTGTCGGCTCACCGATGCTTAGGTAACAGATCACCTCGTCTGTACCAATTGCTTCACCTCGGACAACTCGGGTAAGCTCACTATAGTACAATAGTGTAACCTATAAAAGTCAATCACAGTGCAGTAAGCTTGTAGTCACAGAATGCGACTGCCGGACTGGTAGCTCGATGTAGGGTAGCCGGGCTATGCTCGGAGGGTTTTCTAATGCCGGGCTTGCCGAAGAAGGGGCTCATAAGTAGACATGATGAGGATTCTGACGGGGGCATTTGGTGTTTCATGACTCGATAGCTATCGGTTTCGCTAACACTTAGTTATATCATATCTGAGATTGGAACCGAGTCATTTCCGTTTCTCTGCAAAAGCCTTGATTGGTGACTCAGGATTCTGAACATAACTACTTAGTATTCTGTATAAGTGTATTCCGGCACATTCCATACTCTGCGAGCTATAAGGCTCGCCGATCGTCGTTTTCCTAGCAAAGGTCATGTGGATGATAAGCTTGGGTGGGTTAGTTACCAGGGCTCAGATTTGGGGTCAGATACATCATGGCACGCATTGCCCGGCTGCGTATAGATATCGAATCATTAGCTTTGACAAATAATATAATTTTAACGATATGTTTCTGGCCGATGGACAGCATTCTAGTTACCCCAAGAGCCTCACGATACGCCACCGGCATGGGCCGAAAAGTCCCAGATCAGTTCCCACTACAGTCTTCTCGGTGGAGGGATATCAGGCTTGGCCAGGTACAAGAAAACGACAGGTCGATGAATTTGGATTGAAACTGTCATGTTCTGGGGTTCGCCAAGCAATCCTTTCTCTGCTCTACCCTGTGGTGCGTTCGAATAGTTATTGGGGCCACAGTCAGGGCTGATGGAAGTGGTAGATCAAGTCACTTTCGTCGAGGCAGTTGAAACATCCTCCATCTCACGCCTCGCTCCATCTGCGCATGCCCTTCGTCTGCAATTTGTGTACGAACTTCTCCTCCTCCTCTAGGAGATGATTATCCTGCCCGACCGGACCCATGGTAGGGTACAAAGCCTCAAGAGGCACCTCCCGTACATTGATGGAGCTATCTTCCCGGCTGCCAATCTTCATGGCTTCCAAGATGCTACCGTCGCCGTACTGCGGCTCCTGCAGTATTCGCATGGCGACGGCAGCACACTCTTGTGGCGTCATCGTCATATCGTCTGGCCTTATCCTGTCGCGACAATACTCAGGGTGAAATATGGGTGTCTGAGCGTATGAGAATGTGTTAGCAATAATATGACTGCCGACAAACCGCGTAAAAGGCGTGGATATACGGTATCAATCTTTTCAGAGTTCTTGTTTGATCCTCAAGGTCCACATTGCATCTGTGAACGGGGAGAGTAACGCAGAGACGATATGAGAGTGAACGAGAACGGCATCCAGAAAGGATGGCATACGCACGTATGTAGCCCCAGGACAAAGAGCCGAGTTCCGAATGCCCAGCATTTTCCTAAGCGCAGCCAGCGACCTGACGAAGCTGACAATAGCGGCCTTACTCGCGAAATACATGGGAGACTGCATAGAGTGGACATAGCCACCCACACTTGCCAGCCACAACAGGCTGCCCGCCACTTCGCGATTCTCAAGCCAATAGTCGATGGCGATCTGCGCCAGCCTGATCGGCCCAGTCGTATTTACTGCAAAGGTCTGATACTGTCCGATGCGGGCATCGGGATCATCGATGGCAAGAGGTGAAACGCCCGGCGCGTGCCAAAAGGTGCTTGAGGGCGGCTCGTAGATGCCGGCGCCGTTGACAACGATGTCTACACGGCCGAAGGCCCGTAGCGCCGCAGCGAACAGGGCGCTCAATTGCGACCAGTCTCCTGTGTCAGTCGGTTGATAAATGGCGGACGGTGCACCGGCAGTCTGGGGCGGATGCGGGTACTTCTGGACCGTAGCTTCGGCTTCGGGGCGCAGGCGCAAGTCAGCTAACATCACGGAGGCGCCGGCCTCGAGGAGGTATTCGGTCAGCGCGTGGCTGATACCTGCATCTTGGTCAATAATGTTCGAGAGTAGTATCACAACTCGAATGTCACGTACCCGAGCCAGCACCTGTGACAATGGCGAATCCCCCTTTGAGGTCATAGGACGACATGATGAGAAGCTCTGTGGTAGGTGGTCTATAGGATGACTCGAAAGCTTCGCATCGGTCCAATGGT